AAAAATAGGCAGGCAACCTGAATAGACATTTTTCCAAAGACATACATGAAGACTCCACCAAAAAACTTAGAATTAATAAATAGACATAATCTATTCATAAGGGAAATGAATACCAAAACCACAATGGCATATCACCTCCTACCAGTCAGAAATGGCTAATATCAAGAGAACAAGAAACGAGAAGTGTTGGCAAGGATGTGGAGGAAAGGGAGCCTCCTGCACTGCTGGTGGGCATGAAAATTGGTGCAGCCACTGGGGAAAACAGTATGGAGGTTTCTCAAAAACTAAAAATAGAAATACTATATGACCCAGTAATTCCACTTCTGGTAATTTATCTTAAGAAAATAAAACCACTAATCCAAAAGGCTGTATGCAGACCTATGCTTATTGTAGCATTATTTACAATAGCCAAGTTATGGAAGCAACCTAAATGCCCATCAATTGATGAATAAAGAAAATGTGATACATATATAGAATGGAATATTACTGAGCCAAAAAAATAATGAAATCTCACCATTTGCAATTAACATGGTCAGACCTACAGAGTATTATGCTGAGTGAAGTAAGTCAGGAAGAGGAAGACAAATACTATATAATTTCACTTATATATGGAATCGAGAGAAAAAAAAGAACAAACAAAACAGAAGCAAACTAGTAGACACAGAGGAGTGACTGGTGGGTGTCATAGGGGAGGGGCCTGTGGATGAAATAGGTGAAGGGGGAGAAAAGAAAAAAATTGGGCCGATGGGGAACTGCTCTAAGCAGAAATACTATTGGAGGAAGCTGGGAGCCTTCCCCACCCATCACAACATCTCACTAGCTGGGCTGTTGCCAAGGGAGTGAAAGCCTTCCTTCACTTGTGGGGAGCAAAGCAGGAGCTACAGCACTATGGCCTTGCAAGATCAGCTGTTCCTTCCTAGGGTCTGCAGCTGGCTGGGGCAGAGGTTGTGAAGCCTTGCTCTGCTGCCACCCCATGCCATGTCAGGAAGGTTCCTTTGATTAATTTCCATAGGGAGATGAAGAAAAGGCACGGCAGTGGGTAGGAGCAGCCTGAGGACAGTCAGCCTAGGATCAGTTTGTGAAATACTAGAAAATACACATATTGGTCTCTGCCCCCCAGTTACAGGCACAGAGCTCCTAAAACTCTTGAAATTTCCTGGGTGAAAGGAGTGTCTTTTGTTTTAATGAGGTGACTCTGGGTGGGCTCCTGAATAGCTCCTGGTTGGGGGCTGGGCATTAGAAAGACGGTGATTAGAAGCTTGGAATTTTCAGCCCCACTTTCCCATCCTCCAGAGAGGGGAGAGAGGCTGAAAATAGAGCTAATTGATCATGCCTACATGAGGAAGCCTCAATAAAGTCCCAACAGCATGGGGTCTGGATTGCTTCTGAGTTGATGAACATGAGGGCAGATTTTTGTACGTCTCTATCATGTCTGCCCTGGTAGGATTATATGATACATGAAATCTCCACTTTATTCCTAATTGCTGCACCCATCCTTGCAATGCATTTCCAGTAAAGTGGGTGCCTTGATTGTTGTCAATCACCTGCAGCCAAACATGCTGCAGAGACGTTCCAGGCCTCTCTTGGTGGTTTGCTGATCTGCATGACATGCAGGAAAAGTGACCAATAGTCCGGTAGCTGTGTCCACACAAGTCATGGCATACCGATATCCTTCTGATATGGGCAGAGGCCCAATATAGTCTATTTGCCACCTGACAAGGGGAATTGGCCCCCTTACTGTTGTCCCATGTTGCTGTGGGACTTGGTGTAAGTCCATTTTAGAGCATACAACACACTTCTTCTGGGCTCTGCTGACTTCTTCAAAGGTCAATGGCAAGCCCCACCGACAGGCTACAGCCTACATTGTCTTTTGCCCTGTGTGCAACAAATGCTGATGTAGCCATTGGGCCACATCAGAGGCAGGCTTTCCTTCCAGCCAGCGCACCTGGACCAATGTGTCGGCTTCATCATTCCCTGGGGAATGCCAAAGGCAAATGGCCAGTCACATAATATATGGTAACAGTCTTAGTCTGGACAGAGGCCCATAGGTCTTGCCACAACTCTTGCCCCCAAAGGGGCTGGTGACCAACCATCCAGTTGGCCTGGTACCATGTTGGTAGCCAAGGCTCAAGCCCCGATAGATGGCTCAGCTGTCAGTGCAGACAACTATGGGGGAAGACTCCTGGGTGATCATGAGCCATGCTGTCTGCAACTCAGCACATTGACTGCTCTTTCCCTCTTTCCATATTGTCTCAGTCTTAGGATGGAAAGCCACAGCCCTCCACTTCAGGGGCTTCCTATGACTGGAGCCATCTATATACCAAGTATCTTCAGGTATAGGGCTTTTCCTTCCTGATAAGGAATCTCAGCTACCAATGGCTCAAAGGCAAGTTCTTCCTGCTTTCCACTGGTATAGGTCACTGGCACAAGTAAGCATTGGAGTTTTCTACTTAAGGGGCTAGTAGAGAGGTTGCTATGCTGCTGTAAATATGCACCCCATTTGGCCAGTGTAGGCATCTAGGCCATGCCACTCCATGGTCTTTGGGTCCAGTCTCACACCCATCCTGCGATGGGATAGGTAGTTATTACCTTGTATGGAGCTGTTCCGGCAATGGGCTCCGTAGCCAGCAATGCATGGTACACAGCAGCCAGTTGCTTCTTTATCAAGGTGTACCAGACCTCTGCTCCTTTCCATAGTTGTGACTAGAATCCAGTGGGTTGAAGTGTCTATTCAAGCGGCTGCCAAAGATGCCATCCATAACCATCCTCAGTTACATGAGCATCTAGCTCACAGGGCCTTGATCAGTCCATTACATTCAAGGCCTGTACGACCTTGAATGCCCACTTAGCAGCAGTAAAAGCAGCTGCACATGTCTCATCCCAGTCCCACCTGATGCCCTTTCATACCAACCAGTAGAAGGGCTTCAGAATTTGTGCCAAGTATGGGATAAACACTCTCGTAGATCAAAAGATCCCAAAACTCTTGTAATACTGCCACAGTGATGAGGTGGGGAAAGCCTGGACCTTGTCTATGACTGCTTCAGGAACAACTTTAGTTTTACCTGACCAGACAACCCCCAAGAATTTCATAGACAAACCAGGTCCCTGAACCTTGGTGCTGTTCACAGCCCATCCTTTTTCTTGTAGATGTTGCAATAGTCTAGGAACCGCCCTTTCTAAATATGAAAGAGAATCAGATGTGAGCATAATATCATCAATGTAGTGTTACAGCCACACCGTTCGCAATTTCTTCCATGTGGCCAAGTGCTGGGGTACAAGTCCATGACAGATGGTGGGACTGTGGAAGTATCCCTGTGGAAGGACAGTGAATGTCCACTGCCAGCCTTCCCACGTGAAGGCAAACTGTTCTTGGCTTTCCTGTGCTATGTCAATAGAGAAGAAAGCATTAGCAAGGTCTACTACATAATGATATGTTCCCAGCTCATGGGTGAGGGTGTCCAGAATGTCTGCTACAGAGGGGACAACAGCATGCAAAGGGGGTGTGACTTTATTCAATTCCCTGTAGTTCATGGTCATACACCAGGAGCCATCTGGCTTTCTCACTGGTCACACTAGGGAATTAAAAGCACTATGAGAGGGCTTTATCTCCAACTCCTATAGAGTTTCACCAATTTCTTTGTGCGCCCTCAGGCAATTTATACTGCTTAATATTTGTCACCCACAGAGGTACAGGCAGAGCTACAGGTGGGTGCTTAGCATGTCCCCTCAGAACTGCCTTTACTACATATACTCAGTCTGAACTCATCTGCAGTGGTCTGTAACCACAGGCCCTGCAGGATATCTACCCCCAAAATATATTCAGGGATGGAAGAAATGTACACGGTATACTCTTTTGGGGGTAAACACCCTATCCCCAAGGAGATTTTGGCTTTCTTCACTCTAATTGCCTTACCCCTTAGCCATCTATCACAGCAGGGGTCCAAGGAAAATGCTCAGGGTTGCCTTGAATCAGAGAACACTCAGCTCCTGTGTCCACTAGGGCCAGGACACGTACATTCACAGGGGACCAATGAATTGCTAATTCCACATGTGGCTTCCGGTCCCCACCATGTCCCTCAAGGTGGGGACTTCTGTTGGATTCCCCTGAGGAAGGCGCCGCCCCAAATCACTCACCAAAGACGTTTCTTGATGCAACAAGCAAGAGGAATTTATTCAGAAGCCAACTAGCTGGGGTCCACGTCAGCCCGTCGCAGCGGGTCTCAACGAGGACCCAGAGCACACAAAGCCAGAAGGTTTTATAGCATTTTCAAAAGGGGTAAAATTTTCCATAATTACAATACAGGGTTTTTTCTATAGGCTCATAAATCTTTTGCTGGCGCCACATCCTGGGGTCTGGTTAGATGAGATCACCTTCGGAATGTCTAGGGTGGTTCTAGCAAGATAAGCTAGGCATGTATGATTAACTGATATACGGTTGGCTAACTAAAGGTCACTACAATTGACACAGGCTAACTAACTTGTTTTTCAAGATTCTAATGATTTTCCTTCTTCTGGGTTAGGGGGTGGTATTTAGGCCTTAAGATGGCTGTACTTATGCTAACTTTTGATTCTTCAGATCCTACATTTCCCCACTTCTCTTTTTGGGGCATTCCAATCATGGAATGTTTGTATCTTCTTGTGAGGTGAGTGAGTGGTATTGTTGCTTCAACATTAGTACATGAACAGCACTCACTCTTTCTCTAACAAAAGTTATCAACCGGTTTAATATGCAGGGTCTCAAAGTTAGGAGCAACACAAGGATGAGTAGGGGCCTAGCCAGAGTGGATATCAGGGTTGTAAACCACGGGGACCTAGTGAACTAAGATTCAAACAGTCCTTGGCCTGCTTCTCGCTCTCTCTTCCTCTGATCTAGCCTTTCTCTAAGTTTTGACATTGAATCTCTTACTATCCCGGAATGATCTGCATAAAAGCAGCATTCTTCTCTTAAAGCTGCACACAGTCCTCCTCCTTTTAGGAACAGCAGATCTAGCCCTCGTCTATTCTGTAAGACTACCTCAGAGAGGGAAGTCAGAGATTCTTCAAGTTTTGTAATGGATTGCTCTATGGTTTTTAGGTCTTCATCAATAGCAGTCCTTAGTCTTTCATAATGCTGGTTCCCTTGAACAATAGCGGCTGCCTCCGTTCCCACTCCAGCTGCGACTCTTATCTCTAACAACACGGCTAAGGTCAGCGAGACCGGCTCTCTCTTATATCTATGCTTAGGTTCAAATTCAGCTACGAATGAGAGATCATCATGATACATCAACCTGGGCACCAGCTGGACCATGATACAGAAATCACGGGAGGAGTTGAAGGCAGAAGTAGAGACACATGGGGTCACTCCAGTGTTACAAGCCCACTATCCCTCGGGAGGAGGGATTAAATACCTGTTTTTACCAGGGAAGGCTATGGGTATGGTCTCATTCTTTCTTCTACAGATAGAGACTCTAGCTGCTGCTAGGGAAGAGGGGTGATGACCGCTCTGGCTGCTTCATGCTGAGAAGGGGGCGCAGTAAAGGGTGCAGCTAGGTCTCCATCACTGGTCAGTTGAGAGGGCTTCAGAAGGCTGGCGCTTCTATTCTGGGTTTCATTTTTATTACTATTTGCAGTTTTGTGGCTTCTAGGCAAGATAAAACAAATTGTGTTATTAGGTTATGTAGCAACATCTGGAGTTGGATTTTTTATTCTGGAAGGAGGCTGCATTATTGAAACGATACTTCTCTCTAAAATCACTCTCATTTTTACCAGAAGTAACTAGGTTAAGAAAATAATTAACAGCTGGCTTGATTATTTGCACAGGTGCAGCAAGAAGAGCAATTGATTACACAGGCTCTTTTAAATATGCTTTGCTGGAACTTTTTGTAAGGAATTTCAGATTGAACTTTTAAAGGCCTCTTGAGGCCAGACAGCCAAGCCAGACTTGCCATCAGGCTTTGCCTGCAGTACCTGTAGATTTGGATGAATTCTTCTCTTCTCGAGGTCTCTGCACCTGCCAGGAAGTGACCTTCTTTACTCACCTGGTAAGGCTGCTGGGAACTCTGTAAGCAAGGTACCAGGCCAGTTCTTCCAAGGGGCTTTGTTGGCTTTATAAAGTCAATCTTAGTTCTTTAAAGTTGTTCACATCTGAGTTTATACACATGTCTCTCAGGTACGACATTCCAGTCAAAGCCCTGGTAGTATAACCAGTGTTCTTAAGTAGTCTTCTCACAAGGAAAGCAGATTCTTATTGAACTCGTGCAAATAAACATACTGCCATGGAATACAAAAACAGTCACTGAAAGTTTTTAAACTCTGGAGGGATCAAGTAGAGAGAAGGATGTTTCAATTCTGCTCATAAAGATAGTCATTTACTAAACTGTTGTCAGTTTAAGAGAACAAGGTTAAAACACTTTACCAGCAACATTTGAAACAAAAAGACACAAAATCATTTTCTTTAGTTTATGTAATCTTATGTAACTAATACCTGTTCTGCTGAAATCTAGTTCTTTACCAGTTTAGGGATAATACTATAAATGACAAAAGACTTACAAATGACAATGGTTAAAGATATGATGAGAGCTTACTGTAAAACAGTTGACATAAGGAAATTCTGATATTTCTGTAATACAAAACATTCAGTAACAAAGTTTAGCATCATTCTCTTTGACAGTGCTTTCTTGGTAAATAAATATATATATATCAGATAAATAAGCCAAATTAGTCAAATACTTTGTCTAGTGAGAAAAAATTCTTCTGACATGTTCCAGGGGCCCTCTGGAAAATATCAGAGTTAACTAGAGGTAAAAGCACCTTTTTGCATTTAATTTTTTTAGAACTATCATTACACATTTATTGTCTATATACTCAGCACAGTAAACGAGATATCTTAAAAAGTGGGGCAGCAGGGGAGACTGCTGCTGTCAATTTTTAAAGACAACATACAGAAAGTCAAACTAATTCTAGGTTACTAAGCATTCTTGAGAGAATGGTAGCAGATGGTAGATTCTTCTGCTTTCATCTTCAGGAGGGGAAAAAAGCTACAATAAGAATTCATATTTAGCTGAAAGAACTGTCTAAACTCAAGGCAGAGTATAATATCACCAGGCATACAAAAGACCTGTTAGAGATACATACAAAGAATGAATATGGCTATAGTCAAATTCAACTTAAAAGTTTAAGCAGAATCTCAAATTTAAATGTCTCTTTCTTTCACACAGATATTCAGATATGACCAGAAATATGCTTTGAGATGAAAGAGATCAGGCATTTTACTTCTTCATTTAGGGACTGAGAAATGATGACCTTTGGCTTACAATCAATAGCTTACAAACAGTGAAAATAATAAGAACATAACTCAGCATAAGTGTCTAAGACCAGATACAAAAAAGCAGAGAAAGTGCTTAAGTTTACAGGTCTTCCCTGAAAGCTTCAAGAATGTTTTACTCTTTAATAGTAGATATAAGCTGCTATGCAAATTCTATTAAAAGCTCTAAGATTATTTGCATTAAAAAATATGGAGAGTCCCCCATGTTTTTTAAAACATACAGCATATAAATTAAACAAGAAGACCTGGTGGTTCTCAAAAAATCTATTACAACTTTTCTCAAAAGTGGTCACACGTTCGTCTATCTAAACCTTTACAGTGAAACCTGTTTTTCTGGGAGAAACATAATCTTGTCCAGATTCTACAGTTTAATAAATTTTGGTTTGTTAACTAAGTGCATTTAATCAGCTGAAAAAAGCTTTGTTACTATTCTGCTTAGGAATTCAATTTTTCAGGCCATGCAATCATTTTTAATAACAAAATATTTCAAAGGCAAATAAAGGTTATACAGTTGTTAACAAACTTTAGCTTTTAGTCCCTTTAACATTACGATTTCATGGCAACTCACTGAGACTTTAAGCATGAGAAACTGCTGTGATCTTTCAACATTAAGAGCAGACTAACAGTTAAAGAAAACTGTTTAACTGGAAACGAGATTTTAATTTTGCTGTGCACTTGATATCAAGACTCACTTGCTTTAATTTCACTAGGCATGACTATATCTGTAAGAATATAGTAATTTATTCTTCATTTGCCCCATGGTCCCAAGCACATAAGCCGGTGAGAATTATGCCTGGGCTTGCCTGCGGCTTGACTGGGTTTATCTCACTTTATCTCTAAACATCCTAACCCTCCCCCCAAAGCAACAGGCTGAGCGGATCTTCTACAACAAAAGGCACCACGCTGTTTTCTCTCTTTGTCTCTCTTTAAATAAATAGCTGTACTTTAGAACAAAGTTACTTTCTTTTATCACAAAACACATTCTTTAGCATGCAGAAGAGTTTTCATTTTTTATACTTTTTCTTATTAAAACATACATCTTTTAGCATAGAGAAATGTTTTTCTTTATTACTTTAAGTGGTTTTAATTAGAACTTAAAACCATTAGAAACTTTAACTTCTAGTGAACACTGAGAAGCAGGACACTGCAAACTGTCAAACTAACATTTTCTAGACCAACAAACTCACGAACACATTCTACAATTTCTGCAACCATGAGCTTCACAGCACAATCTCCCAGCAAACACAGAGCACATCTTCTCAACTTAACAAAACTCTAAGGCTTTAAGTTACTACAAAGATTCTCAGGCTGCAGGTAGGCATACACACTGCAACACACAATTAAAAAGGTGTTCACTTGCCACACTTATCCAGTTCACCTACCTGCAACAACTATGCTAGCCTACTCACAAGACCCCCACTGAACACTAGACAAAGCCAAGCTTCTAAGCATTCTATTCTTAAAAGATTTAGCAGATAACATGACTCAAATGACTCTAGGTAAACTCAGGCAGCCGACAACTACCAGGACATGCCCGCCTCAGGCAAACTCAAATTAGCATTAATGCTTAACACTTTTTTACCAGGTTTTCTGGAAGTTTTAGAACACTCAATTTTCACAAGCGCTTGTCTTTAAATCAATTTCATTAATACCATCCGGAGGTAGAAAGATATATTCATTTACACACTTAGGGGGTTGTCTGAGTCTGTCCCATTGTCAGTATAACAATTATTAGGCACATGAAAGACACAAAAAACAGAGACACACACAGATTAGACACACAGCGGCCGCTTTTTGTTTTTTCTCAGATTTTCAAACAGAAACCGAAAGGAATCAGAGGGTTGATATTCCTGGCGCCTGAAAATCAACCCTATCTCATCAGATTCACCTTGCCGGAAAAACAGACGGGAGGCTACCAGGCGTCCCTGGCCTCCCAACCTCCCCGAGGCGTCCCCCAGGGTTGCAGCCTGCGGTGCTCCTAGTACGTCTACCGACCGCAGTCTCGACCCCTTTACGGGATCGGGACAGCTGCCAGACAGTGGGTACCCCTTTTCAGAATTCTGACCGGTCTCACTGAAAAACAGAAGACAGAACACAGACAACTCAAGGCGCCACTAATCTTACCTCTTCCTCCAAGAGCGACTTCGGGAGTGAAGCGGGGTGAGCGCATGATCCCGGACGAGCCCCCAAATGTTGGATTCCCCTGAGGAAGGCGCCGCCCCAAATCACTCACCAAAGACGTTTCTTGATGCAACAAGCAAGAGGAATTTATTCGGAAGCCAACTAGTTGGGGTCCAAGTCAGCCTGTCGCAGCAGGTCTCAACGAGGACCCCGAGCACACTAAGGCAGAAGGTTTTATAGCATTTTCAAAAGGGGTAGAATTTTCCATAATCACAATACAGGGTTTTTTCTATAGGCTCATAAATCTTTTGCTGGCGCCACATCCTGGGGTCTGGTTAGATGAGATCACCTTCGGAATGTCTAGGGTGGTTCTAGCAAGATAAGCTAGGCATGTATGATTAACTGATATACGGTTGGCTAACTAAAGGTCACTACAATTGACACAGGCTAACTAACTTGTTTTTCAAGATTCTAATGATTTTCCTTCTTCTGGGTTAGGGGGTGGTATTTAGGCCTTAAGATGGCTGTACTTATGCTAACTTTTGATTCTTCAGATCCTACACTTCGACCCCCACTTCAGTCGAACCACGATGCCCAATCATCCTCCTGTGGAGGTGAGGGCTCAGGAAAATCCTGAGTACTGTCTCCCATGAAGTTTTGCAGGGACACAGGCCAGGCATAAGGCCTTTACTCTGGTTTCCATGTCCAGAGCCTCAGTGGCTTTAACTGCTGCTCTGACTTTACTGGGTGCCACAGTTCTAACAAGATCCTACTGGGCTGCCCACCAACATTTTCTTTCACTACCCCGGCCTTTCTGGGTCCTCCAGACCTTCACGGGGCCTTTTGCACCTCTCCTTTCAGTTATAGCCTGTACTTCCTTCTGTGCCCTTACTGTTTCAACCTTCCTCAGATCTGCTAAAGTACCAGTAGCCTCTCATGGGTTGTCCTAGGTGGGGGGGGCAAGAGTATTCACTAGGGACACAAAGAGAGATGTGGGAGCTGTATGCAGCACCAGGTTTCTCATTCCTGCCATGAACAACTCATCGGGGCCCTGGGGGTCCATATTATAGATGATATTTTTCATACCCAATTCCCACAGTTGGAGCTCTGCATATGTTTTCCAACTACTGGGTAAATATGGTAAATCACCCTGATTAGGCCCAACTATCCTGATGGCAGCTGTCAGCCATTCCAGGAGTGTCTGATTCCCTAAGGCATGATGGGCATTTTGCAACCGCTGCCAGAGGGAAGGGTGGGTTGTCAGGGAAGTCATTCTACTCATCTCAGTACCTGACATTATGTTTTCCACCCCCATATCCCAGAGACATAAAAGCCATGTAGGCAGATTCCCATGGCCTCTGCTTATACCAGACGCTCATGCCTACCAGCTCATCCTGGGTATAGGGGTAGAGCACGGAGTGCTCCACAACCTGGGGAGTGGGCTGCTCCTCCCCCTGAGGAGCCCAGTTGTTTCATTTTTATTTTCTTAATTACAGCTGGGTGGGTCTTTAAGACAGGAGACCATAGTATCTCCAGCGGTGGCCTGGGTAGCAGATCTGCCAATGGCCCCGCCCCATCTCTTGGGCTAAAGGCACCACTCTTTCCTCCCCCTCCCCCAGGGCCTCCTGCAAGGCGGCTTTTTCTGCTGCCTCCCCGCTCACAGCTGCTAAGGAATTTTCTAGGAGCGTGACTTGCCTTTTCAGTAACTTTCTCTGTTCACTAATCCTCCTGATAATCCTCTTTCTTCTGTATAACATTTTCCACTATCTTGATGAAAAGAGACCCTACAATGCCAGCCGCTACATGGCCCCTTAGGGTCTCCAGTCTTCCAACTCACGGAGGGCTAATTCTGCATCTTCCGGTGTTTCCACCCTTCCACAGTTCTGGGGAAGGTCCCACGCCTCCAGGTGGTACTTTACCCTAGACCAATTCCTCACTAGGGGCTCCCAAATTGGAAGCCCCACAGCTGGGGGGATAATAACAGGTGAAGCTGCATACTCTGCTGCTGCATCCACTGGGGCCTCCCCACCATCCACAGGGTGGGTTCCGGGCAGCTCCCCACTGTCTCTAGGGGCAGCCCTCCCATAGGTTACACTCATTATGACAGATTTCACATTCAGAGGTAGTGCCGGTTGCGCCAGATGTAAGTCTGGGGAGAGGAAATCCCGGGGCTAATACCTCTAAAACTGAAATCAGTCACAGGGAGAAATAAAGTTTAAAAGCCATTTTTTGCTTACAAACTGCAGTCTGTGGTCATCTCCTACTGGAGCAGAAGCAAGCTAGGACCTCCCCTAACCTCTCAAGTTCAGATAAGCCCTCAGTTGCCCAGGTGATTACCCATTGATATGGAGATGAACTTCTCTCCATCCCTGAGAACCACCTGTTGATATGCAGCTGTACTAAAGCCAGGCGAGATATTCTGGAAATATTACAATTTTACCCACATCTGCCTCTGTATCTTTTCCATCTGGATGTTTACCTGTTGCCTTTATCATACTGTTGTTGGGAAATAGGGTGATGCCCTCTTTGTCCTTAGGGAACTATCATGGCGCCAAGGGATGTGATTTTTAGTATGCTAATGAGCGTGTAATGTACTTCGAGGTGAAGTCAATTTCTCCATGTTGGAATCAGACAGTTTTGGCTGGTCAAATATATATTCTTACTCCCCACACCCAGGAAAACAGTTTACATGGAATGTTTAGAATGAAAACAGCAGCCAAATGTAAACAACAGAAGTCTCCTTTCCCCTCCTTGCTCGTGTCTGGTTCTCTACCTAGTAAAACAAAAGTCTTTTATAATAAACTGGTAAACGGCAATTTCTTTTCCTGAATTCTGTGAGCTGCTCTAGCAAAACAATTGAACCTGAGTAGGGGGTTGTGGAAACCCAATTTATAGCAGGTAAGTGCGAGGCACAAGTGACTTGAGATTGGTTATCTGAAGTGGGGGTGGGGGCAGGGCAGCCTTGGTGGACTGAGGTTAGTGGAGTTAAAGTGTAGGACATCCAGCCTGGGCCACAGAATTGCATGGTGTGGAAGAATTCTCCACACAGGTGGTGTCAGAAGTGTTGTGAGTCTGCCAATATTGTGAGAGTAAAGGAGAAACACAAGGGAGTGAGCTTTTCCTAAACAACAGGTTAAGGGAAGTTTTAGTAATGTTATTTCCCATATTGCTGGGTGGCAAACATGGAAAGGTACATTATGGAAGACCAAAATATCAGGCTCTGTTCTGTGAACTACCGAATGCATCACATTATTTGTGTCTGTAAATATGTCAAGATGAATTACTGCAGTAGGTAGGCTGAAAAATCATTTCCTGCACCTCTGCTTTGTGTGCTGATGGGCATGGACTACCCACTCTAGGGAACAACTATTTCTTTGGTATCTGTATCAAATAGGGTCCAATTAGGAGACAGGATCATGGTATAGCAAAGGCTTAATATAAAGAATTATTAAATACAATGGGATTGGGTAACAAGGGATTGGGTAGTAAGGGTAAAAAGAACTCTGAAGAATACAAGAACAGTAGCTCAAAGGAGCAGCTACTATTCTGAGGGCGGAGAAAAAGCTCCCAATGAAGAAAACCCTCTCATCCCCAGAGCTGAGATCCAACTTTGTTAGAGAGAGCATAGCTACAGCTCACTGAATGGAAGTGAACTCGCAGGAGGTCCAGTCCCTTGAGTGCAAGAAAAGCTGTTTGAGGGGAGCAGTCTTGCTGGGAGCTGAAGGCAAATTCTGGCGCGCTAAGACCCCTGGTCGCCCACCCCTTAAGATCCAATCACCAACGACCAGATGGTCACCCACCCCTTAAGATCCAATCACCAACGCAGAACACACCCTACCCCCTACTCCTTAAAAATGCGCTTTCTCACCCACGAGCTGCTGCTCCCTCTCTCTGGGGGCATCCATTTCCTCTTCCAGATAATATCTCTTGCGTGGGCCCGTGTCTCCTGAGTCGTTCTGGGGTAAGGAGGGTCGCGTCGAGATACCCCTTCAGGAGTACTCGAGTATAAAGCTACCCAAAGTAGGGGCTGGGGGCATCCGCTAGCTGCGGGTCCTACCGGCAGCTGTGCACTGGAGAACCAGGTGGGGCAGAGAGCCGGCAGCGCTAAAACCTTGCCTGCACGTTGGGCAACAGGTGCTGTCAAGGCCTAGTACTGCAGGAGCTGCCAGGGGAGGCCCCAGGCCCAGCAGCAAAGCCCCTCCTCCTGCACCGCCTCCCTGCAGCTTCCACCTGCACAACTGGACAAGCCACCCGCAGAGGAGAGCTCAATACCCAGTCCCACCCCCAGCAGAGCAGGGGAGCAGGAGCTGAGACTGCGCTGCAAGTGGCTCAGGGTCCCGTACCTCCACAAGCAGTTGAGCTGAATACTGCTTTTCCGCTATCAGTTTACTTTTCCGCCTTATCTTAGGCCCCACCCTTCGGACCCGCCCCCCAAGCCGGTCCCACCCCAGGAGGCCCCGCCTTCTCCTGCCACTCTCATCCCCACTTCCTCACAGGCCCCGCCTCCCCCTCCTCCCAACCCGCGCTCAAAGATAGCCCCTCCCGTCAGGTTCTCCCTCCCTACAGTGGGCCCTGCACCTCCCCTTCTCGTCCTCACGTTTCCACTGGCCCCGCCCCTTCACTCCGGCCCGTCTCCTTCCCGCAGGCCCTGCCCTGTGTACCTCAAAGGCCCGAAAGGGGCCTCTCTGTGCGCGAGGCAGGTTGGGAAGTTGGCTAAAGATGGCGGCAGAATTGAAAAGCCCGAGCCGCGCCCTCGGCCCTGAAGGACAGGGGCGGGCTTGGGGCGGGGCAGGTGCGCTCCCGCCCACTTTGAGGGGCGTGGGCCGGCCGTGGGAGCGACAGGCTCGCTTGCCGCCCCGGGGTTGGGGCATGGGGTTGGGCGTGGCGTGGGCGGGACTTGGGGCGGGCGGTGCCCTCGGCCCGGAAGTGCGGGCGCGGCGCGGCGCGGGCGCGGGCGCGGGCGCGGACGGCCCCTGGCGGCCGTGAGAGGAGACTGCGGCCGGGAGGGCGGGTAGGCGGCGCAGGAGCGGCGGCGGCTGCGGGTCGGGCGGGCATGTAGTGGGTGCGGGCGGAGCGGGCCTCCCGGGGCGGGCCGGACCGCGGGGGCTCGTGGCGACATGGAGGAGGAGGGCAAGAAGGGCAAGAAGGTGAGCGTCCGCGGGCGTGTCCTCCGGAGCAGGCGCGGGCCGGGGCTCGAGGGACAGGCATGGGTCCCTCGGGCCGGCCTTAGGGTCTGCTGGTGCGGGCTTGGGCGGTCGGGTTGGGAGGTCTGGGGAAGGGAGGTCTGAGTTGTGAGGTGAGCGTCGGGGAGTTAGGGGTCGCTTACGATTGGAGGTGAGAGTGGCGGGCAGGGCAGCGCACGGTCAGGCCCGGGAAAGGGCTGTCTGTCTCCGAGGATCTGGACAATGGGGTTAGGTGGTCTAGGCTGGCCCGGCGCGGCGGGGGAGGAAGGAGCCGCGCCTTTCCGCCCCTTCCGGTCAGCGCCTCTCCCCCAAACCAGGCTCTCCACATGGCCTTCCCTGCGGGCAGTGACTGGTGCTGCAGAGGAGCCGGCCCCGGTTTGGGGCCAGAAAATTTTCCAGGGTTGCTGTCTTAGAGGCGGTGGGGTATGAGCTTAATGTGGAAATATTTGCTCTTCAGTTGACTTCAATTTTTTGATACCAAGGAAAAGCAAAATCTGTGCCTCACGGTATAGTCTATTCACGTTTGAGTTCTGCCTTACCTAATACCAGCTGAGTGATTTCAGTGGCGTTACGTTTAGCACTTGGATTTCGGACACAGTTCACGAGGTTCCCTTAGTTTATGTCGTTTTAAAAATGTGGCTTTAATTGTAGGCCAGTGTATCTAATAAACTCACCATTTCAAGGAGACTGAAATAACCAAGTGGATAAGCTTGTTTACTTGGTTACTATTAAGATGAAAAATGGGTTTCAGTGATGTATCTTTTTCAAATACGGGCTTTGTAATGTGTTTTACCTGTCATTTTCGTTTTAATAAACGTGTGCACTTTTATGCACGAGTTTAAAACGGACCTTGTTAAGTCCTCTTCTTTTACCACCGCCTTTCAGAGCCAGCTGTGTCCTTCAATTAAGGTTACTCATCACCTTGTTGTACAAGATGCCCCATTTTAAAAAGGTGTACTTGAAATTGATTGTAGCCAGGTGGTCTTCAGGGGATTGCCTGGTGCTGCTTCTCTCTTTACTCATTATTTTGTTACTTCATGAACACACATGTCTAATATAAGAGCAGTTATCAGTAGCAGTTACCTGTGAAGATAGTTTAAGTCTGGAAAACAGCCCAAGAAAGGGTTTCAGCCTGCAAGCATTCGACCCCAGAGGGATGCTGCCCACCCTAAAGAGGAAAGCTGAGTTTACTGTTTCTCCAGAAGAAATCAGTCAGTTCTATCCTCCAGTCTTGCAGTAGGAAATGGCCTGTCTCCTGCACCCTGGGCTTCCAGCTTTCTGTAGAGTAGCCCCAGGAAGGCACCGGTTCTGGACACATGCATATTCCACAGTCAGGCCAGAAGGTGTCTGCTAAGGAGAGTATCTCCTTTTGGGGGGTGCTGACCTGTCTGTGATGGGGAAGGTTGAGGTTGACTGAATTCTTACTACCAGCTTTGGTAAAAACAAAAGCATTCAGCAGCATGGAGAGAGAGAAACAGTAAGACATTCTTGAGCTTTTGGAAGAGAAGTGAAAAACCAATAACACTCAAAAATTTTAGAGCTGGGGACAATGGGAAGATTTAGGCATAGAGAAGTTGTTAATGATGAATTTTACTGTGTCCTTTAGGGGAGATAATCAGTTGTTACCTAGGTGCCTAAGGATGGAGGTTTGCTTTTTTGATTGGAGCGCTGCTGCCCTAGCTCCTTTTCCCACAGGCAGACTGGACAGAGCACTTGCGGCATGAACTCCTGTCCAGGCCACTACTTAGCACACTTTACCTCTCGTTCTCTGCCAATCCTGAGCCGGCAAAACCTTCCTGCTCTACTCCCCCATTCAAGGTGGGGTCACTTCCAACTAATGAAACTTAGTGTTTAAGTTGTTCTCTTTGTGGTAACTTAACCAGAGATACCTGTTTTAAAATTTGTATACAAGTTCAAGGTAAAACAGCTTAAGTAAAGAATTTATAGTTTTATCAAAGTCATTTGGAAATTTAAACTCTCTTTACCAGTTAGCTCCCTCAAAAATGCAGTTTTAAACCTTTAAAAATGTGCACTGGTAGGCTTTGTTAGGTCTTGAGACACTCAGGGTTTTGTCAAGCAGTTATTCAGGCTTGTTCTAAAGTGGCCTGTTTACTCAGGACAGGAATCGGTGAGCTGCCAGAGAACCAGTAGACCAGAGTGGGTTTCATATAAAGTGGCCCCAGATACAGGCTCCTTTCTTATGCTTCCATGGCACATACAATGAGGGTGACTTGAGCCCTTATAATGGCCTATGGAAGCCACCAGGGATGTGGGAGCTGCTAATGAGAGAAGATGAGTAAGTCTTGGAGCTTCTGAGGGATGAACATGTGGTTGGAGAAGTCCACTGGTTGCTAAAGATGTGGAGCCTGGGAGTAGGAATGACCATTGGGGTCACTCTCCTGCCCTGATGTACCTTTCAGACCACCAGTCTTGATTTGGGGGTTTGGAGAATAAGGCTTTCTCCTTACATAATGGACTCAGGTTTCATGTATTTCAATACTATTCTGTCAGGATGTGATTTCTTTCTGTAGGAAACTTTGATGTACACTTGAGTTGAATTGTGTGCATTTTTATAAAATCACTTGACTCAGATGAGGATCACAACCCATGGGAGGTCACTGTGGGGCCTCAACCCTCTTTGGGTCCCAGCTTCTGCTGATATGTTATAGGTTATAGGTTTCACCACCAGTGACCATGATTTCAGCCATAATAAGATTAAATAGCTTTATGTGAGAATAAAAAGACCTGGATATTCAATGATGATGAATTATTATCAGCTTTGTTGGATGTAATATTTGTATTTTGTCAAGTTCTGATCTGATAGACACATGTACTGAGATGTTTATAGGTGAAGCGATATGGTTTACTCAAACTAGAAAAAAAAGGAGGTGATACCTGAATGCTTTGGCAATGGGTATTCATTATTCATTATTCTGTCTAGTGGATTTTTGAGAGTTTCCATAGAAGAAATGGGGAGTGAAAGATGCCCCTGGTTATGTGCCCTGGTGGTTAGCTCCTGTACCTCCTGAATCATTCATTGCTCAGCCAATGTCCTTGGGGAACGGAAAGTTGAGCGGCTAGCACCTGTATACCTCTGTAAGTCTGCTGTGGGCAGCCATCCCTTCCCCATAGGTGTGCACATGCATGTGTAAATATTTGTGTAGCTGAAATGAAAGTTTAAAGAAATGGTTTTCTTATTCTTTTTTTCCATTGAAAAATTGTCAAGACCTGCTAAATTGCTTTTGGAACTAAATTGATTCTAGAGCTGTCACAGCTGTGATGTTGGTGAACAGGTGCATGTGGGTGCTGTGCCTTGTTTCATCTTTCCTCTAAGATAGTTGTCACGGTGCTTCCTGGGTGGCAACATGGTGCCCTGAGGTGTGGGGCTGAGAAGACCAGAGCAGGAGATGCCTGATATAGAGATCAAAGGTCAGGTGTCCTGTGGACGAGTCCAGCATAAGCTGCAAATGTGAGGCTTATTCCTCTCTGGTTTGGAGAGTTGCCGTTTACATTGTTTTGTGTTTATTAATTTGTAATGTAAAGAACAGTAGAGTCCTTGTTTTCTTCAGTCAGATTCTATAACTGTTATGATTTAGAATCAGAAAGTGTACAGGAGGCATACAGTACATCTCTGTCACTGCTTTGAGCACCAATGGAGGGGAGGAGTGTACAGGGAAATGTCTCTCTGGGCGCCAAACTGCAGTGGGGCTGCTCTGAGATGAGAGGGCTGTCAGCGTCCCACCATGAGGTCAGGTTGGCCACCTTTGGTACCCAGTGGGGTTGGTCGCCACAGATAACTGCTGGCCTTACATTTTTCATTTTGTCAGCAACAGCCCAACTGTCCTTGTCACCACTCTGCATTGGGAGTTAACAGGCACAGTTAGGTACTGTAGATTTAGCTGATGAGCATGAAATCATCCTGTTTATTTATTTGACTGCCTACTGCATGCTTAGTACAGTGAGAAGAAGGGTGTTTTGTTTGGAGAGAAAGCTGCTTACGTAACGTTAAGAGAACAAGAGGGCCAGTGTCAGCATCCCAGGAGAGACGTGGGTGGCCTCCACTGATTCCCCAGGGGCCATGTGCATGCCCTTAGGCAGCAGAGGAGGCGGGGGCTGTAGCCAAAGTCTGGGAGGGCCTGGGCCTGGGTGGGCGTGTGTGCAGCTTTGGTACCGTGTGCGGATGAAGCAATGGGAGGCATTCCTTTATCCCTGTAAGAACTGTTCTTTGGCCCTGACTGTGTGCCAGGTGTAGATGGCGGGGAGACAGATGGGCTGTGTGGCTGTGGAGCCTGAAGCTGAGCCCAGAGGGCTGTGAGAAAGTGTGCTTTGACTAGTGCACCTTAGAAAACCTTCCTGTTATGAAGACGTCCAGTTCAAGTGTAGAGAAAATTGGGTAACGAAGGCCCGATGCCCAACTTGAGACATTGCAGGACATCTTGTTCCCAAGGTCATGTACCTCATTCAGCCCTGCTCCCCAGGTGACATGGGCCGACATATCACCCCCCAGATTCACATGATGAAGCCCTAACACCTCAGAATGGGTCTGTGTGGAGGCAGGGCTTTCAGAAGTGATTAAGGTAAAATGAGGTGGCATTGCTGGGCCCTGATCCCACGTGACCAGTGTCCTTATAAGAAGAGGAGATGAGGACCCAGACGCACAGAGGGACCACGTGAGGCACAGGAGGAAATTGCATTTACATGCACAGGAGGAGCCACAGGAGGACCTGCCCAGCCACACTGTGACCTCAGATGTCCAGGCCCAGGAGGGCCCAGTGTCTGTGGTTTAAGCCATCCTGTCTGTGAATCTGTGATATGTGTAAGGCAGCGTAAGACAGCAGGTTATTTCACAGGAAACCGGAGATGTCAGGGTGATGGGGCAGGGGTCCCAGGCAGGGGCCATGTTGGCAGGACTTGGTCCTCCTGAAGGCCTGGTCCATGCTGTCTTAGACGTGGGCGAGCTGCTCCAAGCAGCAGGTGGGCTCCCAGTGCTCCCTGTGGTTCCTAGGTGGAACCTCCCTGCTGTGGTGTGGCCCTCTAGGCCTTGCTTCCGTCCTGGGGGTGGGCGGGTGGCAGGTTCATTCCGCAGGCCCAGGACGGAGGCTGTTCTTCACGGGATGCCCTGTGTCCATGGGGCACAGGTGCAGGAGTTTAAATTTGGATTCACCAATTTAGTAGTAGAAATAAAAAGGAAAAATTTTCCTTCGTTCTGTGCCAGTGCCGAAAATGTAACAGTTTTTCCTTCTTCGTGGCCAGAACAGTAGCAGTTTTTGCTGGATTGTGTTAAGAAGTAGGCCATTTGATTATGGGCATTAGACGCATGCAATGGAAATAACTGCCTTTGATAAGTGCAGTAGGAAGTTGGAATTTGGGCTTTTGTCTGAGGCTTAGGAGGGTGAACTGCAGTGTATACCTTGTAACCCAGGAGGTGGAGCTAATAGTTGCATTCTGGAAGGGAGAGAAAAATGTCCAGTCTGACTCTGATTTGTTACTGTTCTTAAGGAAAACCTCATGTGGGTGTCCCTTGGGGTGCTATTTCACCTATGTTGTTATTTGTGACTCTGAGAAGAAAAAGGGAGAAACTTTTATTTATTGGAATCTTCATTATCCACCGTGTAGTTTAAAATTCCACGTAGTTGCCCTGGAGTCAGATAGTTACCACTGACTGTGCAGTCAGGTGTGGCTCAGAGTGTCCCATTTTTCCCTTGCTGTTTACATGGTGGGGAGTCAGTAATTTAATGCCCTGAGTAGACCTAAATGTCAAGTATATCATCCCACATGTCATGGG